ACAGGCTACGGGACACAGGTTGCAGGACACAGGACAAAGGCTACAGGGGACAGGACACAGGCTACACAATCTAGGACACAGTCTACAGACCACAGGACAGTGGCTACAGGACACAGGCTACATGACACTCTATCCTATAGCCAGTGTCCGCTGTCTTCTTCCCTCTTTCGTTCAGCCTGTGTCATGTAGCCTGTGTTCTGTGTCGTGTATCCTGCAGCCTGTATCCTTTGTTCTGTAGCTCTGTCCTGTGTCCCGAGTCCTATGTTGTGTAGCCTGTGTCCTGTGTCTTGTACCCTGTGGCCTATGTACACATCCTGAGTCTTGTGTGCTCTGTCCTCTAGCTGGTGTCCTGTGTCCCCTAGCCTGTGTCCTGTGTCCTGAGCCTGTGGCCTTTAGTCTTTGTCCTAGGGCTGGATTCCCCTTTGCTGTAGTCTGTGTTCTGTGTCCTGAAGCTGGTTTCTTGTAGCCTGTGGACAATGTCTTGTAGTGTGTGTCCTGTGTCCTGTAGCCTGTTCTCTGAGCTTTGGGGCCTAAGTCCTGTGGTCTGCGGCCTGTGTCCTATGTCATGTAGCCTGTGTCCTTTACCCTGCAGCCTTTGTCCTGTGGCCTCTGTCCTATAGCCGGTGGCCTGTGTCCTGTTCCCCTTTTCCTTCAGTCTGTATCGTGTAGCCTGTGTTGTGTCCTGTGTCATGTATCCTGTGTCATGCATCCTGTGTCCTGTAGCCTGTGTCCTGTATTCTGTATCCTTTAACCAGTGTCCTTTAATCTGTGTCCTCTGTTGTGTATCCTGTGTCCTGTATTCAGTCTCCTGTAGCTTGTGGCCTATGCCATCAGCCTTCGTCCTGTACCTGTGGCCTCTGTCCTCTAGCCTGTGTCCTGTATCATTTTTCCTGTGTCCTTCAGCCTGTGTCATGTAACCTGCATCCTCTGTCTTGTAGCCTGTGGCCTATGTATGCATTGAGTATCCTGTGTCCTGTGTCCTGTGTCCTATGTCTTGTATCTTGTGTTCTATATCCTGTGTCCTATGGTGTGTAACCTATGTCCCGTAGCCTGTGTTCTAGCCTGTGTCCTGGGTTCCATGTTCTGTGTCCAGTATCCTGTGTCATATATCCTCTGGCCTATGCCCTGAATGCTGTAGCTTGTGTTCTATCTTGTGTAGCTTGTGTCCTGTAGCCTGTGTGCTGTAGCCTGTGTTCATGTCCTCTACCCTGTGTTCTGTGTTCAGTAGTCTGTGTCCTATATCCTGCAGCTGTGGCCTTTGTCCTGTGGACGGAGTGCTGTACACTGTGGCCTCTTTGCTGTGCCCTGTAGCCAGTGTCCTCGGACTTTAGCCTGTGTCTTGTGTCCTGTATCCTGAGTGCTGTAGCCTGTCCTTGTGTCCTGTTTCCTATGTTGTTTAGCCTTTGTCCTATTTCCTGTAGCCTATAACCTGTGTCCTGTAGCCTATGTACTATATCCTGTAGCCTGTAACCTGTGTCTTATAGCCTGTGTGCTATATTCTTTATTCTGTGTCCTATATCCTTGTCCTGTGTCATCTGGGCTATGTTCTGTGTCCTGTAGCATGTGGCCTCTGTGCTGTAGCCTGTGTCCTGTGGCCTATGTCTGGTGTCTTGGGTCCTGTAGCCTGTGTCTTATGCCCTGTGTTCTGGGTCCTGTAGCCTGTGTATTGTTTGTGTCTGGTAGTCTGTGACATAAGTCACAGGACAGAGGCTACAGCACAGAGGCCACAGGACACAGGACATAGCCCAGATGACACAGGACACATGATATAGGACACAGAATATGGAACCCATGACACAGCCTAGAGAACACAGGCTACGGGACACAGGTTGCAGGACACAGGACATAGGCGACAAGCTACAGGGCACAGGACACAGGCTCCAGGAGACAGGACACAGGCTCCACAATCTAGGACACAGTCTACAGACCAAAGGACAGTGGCTACAGGACACAGGTTACAGGACACTCTATCCTATAGCCAGTGTCCACTGTCTTGTTCCCTTTTTCGTTCAGCCTGTGTAGTGTAGCCTATGTCCTGTGTCGTATAGCCTGCAGCCTGTATCCTTTGTTCTGTAGCTCTGTCCTGTGTCCCACAGCCTCGTTCCTGGATCCTCTGTCCTGTGACCTGTGTCCTATGTTGTGTAGCCTGTGACCTGTGTCTTGTACCTTGTGGCCTATGTACGCATCCTGAATCCTGTGGCCTCTGTCCTCTAGCTGGTGTCCTGTGTCCCCTAGCCTGTGTCCTGTGTCCTGAGCCTGTGGCCTTTAATCTTTGTCCTAGGGCTGGATTCCCCTTTGCTGTAGTCTGTGTTCTGTGTCCTGAAGCTGGTTTCTTGTAGCCTGTGGACAGTGTCCTATAGTGTGTGCCCTGTGTCCTGTAGCCTGTTCTCTGAGCTCTGGGGCCTAGGTCCTGTGGCCTGTGGCATTTGTCCTATGTAGTGCAGCCTGTGTCCTATAGTCTGTGGCCTCTGTCCTGTGGTCTATATCCTATAGCATGTGTCCTATGTTCTGAACTTTGTCCTGGTTCTTGTAGCCTGTTGCTTTTGCCCTGCAGCCATTATACTGTGTCCTGTGGCCTCTGTACTATAGCTGGTGGCCTGTGTCTTGTTTCCCCTTTCCTTTTATGTGTGACATGTATCCTGTGTCCTGTATCCTGTGTCATGCATCCTCTGTCATGTAGCCTGTGTCCTGTGTCCTGTAGTCTGTATCCTTTAACCAGTGTCCTTTAATCTTGCCCTGTGTTTATGTTGTGTATCCTGTGTCCTGTAGCCAGTCTCCTGCAGCATGAGGACTATGCTTTACAGTCTTTGTCCTGTGTCCTGTGTCCTGTGTCCTGTGGCCTCTGTCCTATGTCCTGTGTCTTGTTTCCTGTGTCCTGCAGCCTGTATCATGTAGACTGCGTCCTCTGTCTTGTAGCCTGTGGCCTATGTATGCATTGAGTATCCTGTGTCCTGTGTCCAGTAGCCTCTGTCCTGCATGCTTTGTCCATTGTCCTATGTCTTGTATCCTGTGTTCTATATCCTGTGGCCTATAGCGTGTAACCTATGTCCCGTAGCTGTGTTTTAGCCTGTGTCCTGGGTTCTGTGTTCTGTGTCTTGTATCCTGTGTCCTGTATCCTCTGGCCTATGCCCTGAATGCTGTAGCTTGTGTTATATCTTGTGTAGCCTGTGTCCTGTAGCCTGTGTGCTGCAGGTGTGTTCATGTCCTCTACCCTGTGTTCTGTGCTCTGTAGTCTGTGTCCTATATTCTGTAGCTGTTGCATCTGGCGCCCCAACTGGGACTAGAAACCAGGGTGCTGCAGCTGCAGGCGGAGGATTAGCATAGTGAATCGTGGCGCCAGCCCACGATAAATTTTAAAAGAAAAAGGAAACAGACCAGGAGTCTCTCCAGTGCCAGAAGACTTCCTGCAGGCAGCAGGAGAGGGCGTAACAGATGAGTGCATGGGGCTGTGGTGAGCTCGGGGCTCGGGGTCCGTGCTGTCGTGAGAGCACAGCACAAGGGACAGTGTGTCCCGAGAGCACAGTGCTGGGGGCCATGGTAAGCTGTGGGCCATGGAGGAGCACAGTGCAGGGGAGGTGGTGAGCTGGGGGCCATGGAGGAGCACAGTGCAAGGGCAGTTGTGAGCTCGGGCCTGTGGTGTCCTAAGAGCGCAGTGCAGGGGACAGCTCACCACGGCCGCGGAGCTCACTGCCACCCTCTGCACTGAGCTCCCGGGGGCCAGACCCCAGGCAGGGGTAGAAAACCTCTGGAGAACCTGACTAGCCCTAAGAGAAGACTGGACAGTGACCGTGGGGCCTTCCTTAAGGCCTGGGCAGATGACCGACCGAAGGCAGATCCACACGCACCTCCCAGGCAGCCAGCTCAGAGCGGGGTGGAAGGCGATGTTTGCTGAGTCACAGCAGGGCCCGAGGCGGGGGCTCAAGTCCTCATGTCCCTGCCTCCCACCCCAGACCAGGTGGAGCTCCCGGCTCCCAGCTGTTGTGGGTGTTTGGGAGTGAGCCAGTGAATGGAGCTATCTCTTTCACTCTCCAATAAATAAAAATGAAGCTAAAAAATGAAACCAACCCCCTGCGATCACACACACACAGGACACTCCGTGTGGCATCAGGGTTCCACGTGGCACCTGCTGGGGTCGCTCTCAGGAAACCGGCCATCCCCCCCCCTCCCCAGGGAACCAGGGGTGCAGCCCTGCACCTGCTCCCGACTCTTCCCAGGGTGGCATCTGCAGTCCCCGTTCATGGGCTCACCCACCACCACGTCTGCTTCTGCCCCTGCTCACCGGGACGGGGTTGTGACACAGCGGGCTCACCAGGACCCAGGCATCCTGGACCTCATCTGGGAGCCTGGGCCACACTCCCCTCCTCCCCTTCCAGGGCATGGGCACCCCTCCCATCCCAGCCCTCCAGGGCCAGGCCCCACTACCCTCAGTGCCCTATAGGGCCAGACCCTGCTCCACTCCTCATCCTCCTGGGCCTAGCCCTGCTCCCCTTTTTGCCCTCCAGGGCCAGGCCCTACTCTTCTCAAAGCCCTCCAGAGCTGGATGCCGATCTCCTTCTCACCCTCCAGGGTCTGCGCCTCACTCCCTCCTCGCCCTCCAGGGCCCGGGCCCCTCCCATCGCATCCTGCCAGGGACGGGCCCCTTCCCATCGCATACCTCCAGGGAAGGGCCCCACTGCCATCAAAACCCTAGAGGGTCAGACCCTGATCCACTCCTAGGCCTCCAGGGCCTGGGCTCCACTCCAATGCTCGCCCTCCAGGCCTAGGTCGCACACCCCTCCTCACCCTCCAGGGCCTGGGCCCCACCCCCCTCACCCTCCAGGATATGGGCCCCACTCCATTTCTCTCCCTCCAGGGCTGGGCCATGCTCCCAAGCTCGCATCCAAGGTCAGACTCTGCTCCCCTCCTCACCCTTCAGGACCTGGGCCCTGCCCCCCACACTGCTCTCCAGGGCTGGGCACCACTCCCCTCAAGGCCCCCCAGGGCCAGACGCTGCCCCCTCCTCACCCTGCAGGGCCTGGGCACGCTCTGCTTGCTGCCCTCCAGGGCTGGACCCTGTTTCTCCTCCTTGCCTTCCAGGGCCGGACCCCACTGCCCTCAAGGCCCTCCAGGGCTGGACCTGCTCCACTCCTAGACTTCCAGGGATTGGGCTCCACTCCCCACGCTGCCATCCATGGCCCAGCCCCACTCCCCTCAACACCCTCCAGGGCCGGACCCCACACCCCTCCTCACCCTCCAGGGCCTTGGCCCCATTCCTCTCCTTGCCCTCCAAGGCCAGTGCCTGCTCTCCTCCTCACCCTCCAGGGTTGACCTGACACTTTCTTGTTGAGAAAATAAAGCGGAGGAAAAGAGACAATATTGCAGGGAACCAAACCTTTTATTCTGTAACAGGGTTAGATCCAGAAAGGTCTCTGGACCTGGGACAATCTCTGCTTTGATTCTGAAACATTGCTCATGGCTCGGTGAGGTCTCAAGAGTGAGGCTGTGAGCATGAAGTGGCCTTTGTCCTTTGTCCTATAGACTGTGTCCTTTTGCGTATGTCCTATGTCTTGTGTCCTGTAGGTCCAAGGTCTAGAGACCTTTCTAAAACTAACCCTGTTACAGAATAAAAGGTTCGGTTCCCCGCAATATTATCTCTTTTCCTCTGCTTTATTTTTCTCAACAAGAAAGTGTCAGCTCAACCAGTGGTGGGAGAGGAGGAGATCAGGCACTGGCCTTTGTCCTTTGTGACATAAGTCACAGGACACATGCTACAGGACAGAAGCCACAGGCTACAGGACATAGGCTAAAGGCTACAGGACACAGCCTACAGGCTACGGGAGACAGGACAGAGGACACAGGACACAGGCTACAGGACACAGGACATAGCCCAGATGACACAGGACACATGATATAGGACACAGAATATGGAACCTAGGACACAGCCTAGAGGACACAGCCTACGGGACACAGATTGCAGGACACAGGACATAGGCGACAAGCTACAGGACACAGGACAGAGGCCACCGGACACAGGACACAGGCTCCACAATCTAGGACACAGGCCAGAGGCCACAGGACAGTGGCTACAGGACACAGGCTACAGGACACTCTATCCTATAGCCAGTGTCCGTTGTCTTGTTCCCTCTTTCCTTCACCCTGTGTCGTGTAGGCTGTGTTCTGTGTCGTGTATCCTGCAGCCTGTATCCTGTGTTCTGTAGCTCTGTCCTGTGTCCCATAGCCTCTGTCCTGGAGCCTCTGTCCTGTGTCCTGAGTCCTATGTTGTGTAGCCTGTGTCCTGTGTCTTGTACCCTGTGGCCTATGTACACATCCTGAGTCTTGTGTGCTCTGTCCTCTAGCTGGTGTCCTGGGACCCTAGCCTGTGTCCTGTGTCCTGAGCCTGTGGCGTGTAGGTTTTGTCCTAGTGCTGGTGTCCTCTTTGCTGTAGTCTGTGTCCTGTGTCCTGAAGCCCGTTTCTTATAGCCTGTGGACAATGTCCTGTAGTGTTGTCCTGTGTCCTGTAGCCTGTTCTCTGAGCTCTGGGGCCTAGGTCCTGTAGCCTGTATCCTGTGACATATGTCCTATGTTGTGTAGCCTGTGTCCTGTAATCTATGGCCTATGTCCTGTGGCCTATAGCCTGTAGCCTGTGGCCTTTACCCTGCAGCCTTTGTCCTGTGGCCTGTGGCCTCTGTCCTATAGCTGGTGTCCTGTGTCTTGTTACCTCTTTCCTTCAGCCTGTGTCGTGTAGCCTGTGTCCTGTGTCGAGTATGCTGTGTCCTGTAGCCTGTGTCCTGTAGCCTGTAGTCTGTATCCTTTAACCAGTGTCCTGTAATCTGTGGCCTGTGTCCTATGTTGTGTATCCTGTGTCCTGTAGCCCAGCTTCTGTTACCTGTGGCCTATGCCGTGCAGCCTTTGTCCTGTGTCCTGTGGCCTCTGTCCTATGTCCTGTGTCTTGTTTCCTGTGTCCTTCAGCCTGTGTCATGTAGCCTGCATCCTCTGTCTTGTAGCCTGTGGCCTATGGATGCATTGAGTATCCTGTGTCCTGCGTCCTGTAGCCTCTGTCCTTCGTCCTGTGTTCTGTGTCCTATGATTTGTATCCTGTGACCTATATCCTGTGCCATCTAGCGTGTAACCTATGTCCCGTAGCCTGTGTTCTAGTCTGTGTCCTGGGTTCTGTGTTCTGTGTCCTCTATCCTCTGGCCTATGCCCTGAATGCTGTAGCCTGTGTCCATGTCCTCTACCCTGTGTCCTGTGTTCTGTAGTCTGTGTCTATATCCTGTAGCTGTGCCCTTTGTCCTGTGGCCAGTGTGCTGTACACTGTGGCCTCTGTGCTTTGTCCTATAGCCAGTGTCCTCGTCCTTTATCCTGCTCATGTAGCCTGTGTCCTGTGTCCTGAGTCCTGTAGCCTGTCCCTGTGTCTTGTAGCCTGTGTCCTGTGTCCTATAGTGTTTAGCCTTTGTCCTGTCTCTTGTAGCCTGTAACCTGTGTCCTGTAGCCTGTGGACTATATCCTGGAGCCTGTAACCTGTGTCCCGTAGCCTGTGTCCTCTGTTCGCTATTCTGTGTCCTATATCATCTGCCCTATGTCATCTGGGCTATGTCCTGTGTCCTGTAGCATGTGGCCTCTGTGCTGTAGCTTGTGTCCTGTGGCCTATGTCCTGTGTCTTGAGTCCTATAGACTGTGTCTTATGTCCTGTGTTCTGGGTCCTGTAGCCTGTGTATTGTGCCCGGTAGTCTGTGACATAAGTTTCAGGACACAGGCTACATGACAGAGGACACAGGCTACAGGACACATGACACAGGCTACAGGACAGAGGCCACAGGCTACAGGACACAGCCCAGACGACACAGGACACAGGATATACGACACAGAATATGGAACCCAGGACACAGCCTAGAGGACACAGGCTACGGGACACAGGTTGCAGGACACAGGACATAGGCGACAAGCTACAGGACACAGGACAGTGGCTACAGGACACAGGCTACAGGACATAGCCTTTGTCCTGGAGCCTCTGTTTGTGTCCTGTGTCCTATGTTGTATAGCCTGTGTCCTGTGTCTTGTATGTACACATCCTGAGTCCTGAGGCTTCTGTCCTCTATGGTGTTCTAGGACCCCTTGCCTGTGTCCTGTGTCCTGAACCTGTGGCCTGTAGTTTTTGTCCTAGTGCTGGTGTCCTCTTTGCTCTAGTCTGTGGCCTGTGTCCTGAAGCCCATTTCTTGTAGCCTGTGGACAATGTCCTGTAGTCTGTGTGCTGTGTCCTGTAGCCTGTTCTCTGAGCTCTGGGGCCTAGGTCCTGTGGCCGCTGGCCTGTGACCTTGGCCTTTGTTCTATGTCATGCAGCCTGTGTCCTTTAGTCTGTGACCTATGTCCTGTGGCCTATACCCTGTAGCATGTGTCCTTTGTCCTCAATTCTTTGTCCTATGTCCTGTATCCAGTGGCCATGGCCTGCAGTCTTTGTCCTGTGTCCTGTGGCCTCTGTCCTATACCCAGTGGGCTGTGTCTTGCTCCCTCTTTCCTTCAGTCTGTGTCCTGTAGCCTGTGTCCTGTTGTGTATTCTGTGTCGTGTATCCTGTGTCTTGTAGCCTGTGTCCTATACGCTGTGTCCTGTGTCCTGCAGCCTGTGTCCTATGTCCTGTAGTCTGTATCCCTTAACCAGTGTCCTGTAATCTGTGCCCTGTGTCCTATGTTGTGTATCCTGGGTCCTGTAGCCCGTCTCCTGTAGCCTGTAGCCTATGCCCTGCAGCCTTTTTCCTGTGTCTGTGGCCCCTGTCCTATAGCCTGTGTCCTGTGTCTTGTTTTCTGTGTCCTGCAGCCTGTGTCATGTAGCCTGCATCCTCTGTCTTGTAGCCTGTGGCCTATGTATGCATTGAGTATCATATGTCCTGTGTCCTGTAGCCTCTGTCGTGCGTCCTGTGTCCTGTGTCCTATGTCTTGTATCCTGTGTTCTAAATCCTGTGGCGTCTAGCATGTAACCTATGCCCCGTAGCCTGTGTTCTAGCCTATGTCCTGGGTTCTGTGTTCTGTGTCCTGTATCCTGTGTCCTGTATCCTCTGGCCAATGCCCTGAATGCTGTAGCTTGTGTTCTATCTTGTGTAGCCTGTTTCCTGTAGCCTGTGTGCTGCAGGTGTGTTCATGTTCTCTACCCTGTGTCCTGTGTACTGCAATCTGTGTCCTATATCCTGTAGCTGTGCCCTTTGTCCTGTGGCCAGTGTGCTGTACACTGCAGCTGTGTCCTGTGACCTGTAGCCAGTGTCTTCGTCCTTTAGCGTTTGTCCTGAGTCCTGTAGCCTGGGTCCTGTGTCCTTATCCTGAGTCCTCAAGTTGTCCCTGTGTCCTGTAGCCTGTGTCCTGTGTTGTTTAGCCTTTGTCCTGTCTCCTGTAGCCTGTAACCTGTGTCCTGTGGCCTATATCCTGTAGCTTGTAACCTGTGTCCTGTGTTCAGTATTCTATGTTCTATGTCCTGTGTCCTGTGTCGTCTGGGCTATGTCCTGTGTCCTGTGTCCTGTGGCCTCTGTCCTGTGTCTTGGGTCCTGTAGCCTGTGTCTTATGTCCTGTGTTCTGGGTCCTAAAGCCTGTGTACTGTGTCTGGTAGTCTGTGACATAAGTCACAGGACAGAGGCCACAGGCTACCGGACAGAGGCCACAAGCTACAGGACACAGGACATAGCCCAGACGACACAGGACACAGGATATATGACAGAGAATATGGAACCCAGGACACAGCCTAGAGAACACAGGCTACGGGACAAGGGTTGCAGGACAAAGGACATAGGCGACAAGCTACAGGACACAGGACAGAGGCTACAAGAGACAGGACACAGGCTACACAATCCAGGACACAGGCCAGAGGCTACAGTGGCTACAGGACACAGGCTACAGGACACTCTATCCTATAGCCAGTGTCTGGTGTCTTGTTCCCACTTTCCTTCAGCCTGTGTCGTGTAGGATGTGTCCTGTGTCGTGTAGCCTGCGGCCTGTATCCTTTGTTCTATAGCTCTGTCCTGTGTCCCATAGCCTCTGTCCTGAGCCTCTGTCCTGTGACCTGTGTCCTATGTTGTACAGCCTGTGTCCTGTGTCCTGTAGCCTGTCCCTGTGTCCTGTAGCCTGTGTCCTGTGTCCTATGTTTCTTAGCCTTTGTCCTGTCTCCTGTAGCCTGTAACCTGTAGCCTGTAACCTGTGTCCCATAGCCTGTGTCCTTTGTTCGGTATTCTGTGTCCTATATCCTGTGTCTCGTGTCATCTGGACTATGTCCTGTGTCCTGTAGCCAGTGCCCTCTGTGCTGTAGCCTGTGTCCTGTGGTCTATGTCCTGTGTTCTGGGTCCTGTAGCCTGTGTATTGTGTCTGGTAGTCTATTTCCTTTGTCCTCTTTCCTATAGCCTATGTCCCGTATCCTGTGTGATGTTGCTGTGTCCTTGTCCTTTAGCCTCTGTCCTGTGTATGTGTCCTGTGTCCTATGTCTTGTATCCTGTGTTCCATATCCTGTTCCTTGTCCATAGCCTGTGTTCTAGCCTGTGTCCTGAGTGGTTGCCTCACACTGTGTGGTCTAGCCTGTGTCCTGTGTCATGTAGTCTGTGGCCTCTGTTCTGTGGCGTTTATCTTTGTCTTGTAGTCTGTGGCCTATGTCCTTTTGTCTATGTCCTGTATCCTGTATCCTGTGTTCTATGGTGTGTAGCCTGTGTCCACTGTCTTGTAGCCTCAGGCCTATGTATGCATCCTGTGTTCTGTGGCCTCTGTCCTATAGCTGGTGTCCTGTGTTCTGAGCCAGTGTCCTGTGTCCTGAGCTTGTGGCCTATAGTCTTTGTCCTAGGGCTGACTTCCTCTCTGCTGTGGCCTGTGTACTGTATACTGAAGCCAGTGTCTTGTACCTGTGGACAATGTCCTGTAGTATGTGTCCTGTGTCCTATGTCCAGTTGCCTGTGTCCTATGTCCTGTGTCCTGTGTCTTGTGTCCCATAGCCTGTATCTTATGTCCTGTGTTCTGTGTCCTATAGCCTATGTCCTGTAGCCTCTCTTCTTTGCCCTGCAGCCTGGGTCCTATGTCCTGTATCCTGTGTCCTGTAGCCTGTGTCCTTTGTCTTGGATCCTGTGTTCTGTAGCGTCAACCTATATCCCATAGCCTGTGTTCTAGCCTGTGTCCTGGGTTCTGTATTCTGTGTCCTCTATCCTGTGTCCTGTGTCCTCTGACTATGCCCTGAATCCTGTCACCTGTGGCCTTTGGTTTGTGGCCTCTGTCCTGTGTCCTGTAAGCTGTGTTCTGTAGCCGTGTCCAATATCCTGCACCACAGCATACAGCACATCGGCCACAGGACAAAGGCCACAGCTACAGGACATAGGCCATGGACTACAGGACACAGGCTACATGACACAAGACAGAGGCCACAGGCCACAAGATAGGATGCAGGGCACAGGCTACAGGCTACAGGCTACAAACTACAGGACATTGTCCACAGGCTACAAGAAACCGGCTTCAGTATACAGGACACAGGCTACTACAAAGAGAAACCAGCTCTAGGACAAAGACTACAGGCCACAGGCTATAGGACACAGGCCACAGGCTCAGGACACAGGACACAGGATCAATGCACAGGCCACAGGCTAGGGGACATAGGACACCAGCTAGAGGACAGAGGCCACAGGACACAGGTTGCATACATAGGCCACAGGCTACAAGACAGTGGACACAGGCTACACAACATAGAACACAGGCTAAAGGACTTAGGCTACAGGACTCAGGACAGATTTCAGGACACAGGTCACAGGCAACAGGACATAGGCTCCAGAGCACAGGCAGGGCCCTGGCCATGCTCCAGTGACATGCCCCTCCCTCCTCCTTGCCCTCCAGGGCCATGATCCCCTCAGGCAGGGCCCTGGCCACCCTCTAGGGCTGGGCTCCTTCTCTTCTCCATGCCCTACAGAGCCAGGCCCTGCTCCCCTCAGGTGTGGCACTAGACACCCAGCAGGGCTGCCCCACTCTCCTTGTCCTCCAGGGCCTGGGCCCCACTCCCCTAGTTGCCCACCAGGGCCTGGGCCCAGCTCCCGTTGCTGTCCTTCAGGGCCAGGCCCTGCTCCCCTCACCACATTCCAGGGCTGGGCCCTGCTCCCCTCCTCACCCTGCAGGGTTGGACCCTTTGCCTCTCAGGCCCAGCCCTGTCCACCCTCCAGGGCTGGTCCGCTCCTCCTCTCGTGCCCTACAGAGCTGGGCCCTGCTCCCCTCAGGCACGGCACTAGCCAGCCACCAGGCCTGGCCCAACTCCTCTCCATGTCCTCCAGGGCTGGGCCCCACTAACCTCAACACCCTCCAAGTCCAGACCCTGCTCCCCTCCTCCCCTACAGAGCCACGCCCTGCTCCCCTCAGGTCCATCCCTGGCCTCACTCCAGGGCCAGACCCTGTTCCCCTCCTCACCTCCAGGGCCAGTGTTCCCCTCCTTATACTCCAGTGCTGGCACCGAAAGCCTCCTCACACCCTTGGTCTGGGCCTGCTCCCCTCCTCCCCCTCCAGAGCCAGGCCTTTCTCCCCACAGGCCCATCCCTAGCCTCCCTCCAGGGCCAGACCCCGCTTCCCTCCTCACCTTCAGGGCCAGGCCCTATTCTGCTCCTGGCCTTCCAGGGCCTGGGTCCCGCACCTCTCCTTGCCCTGCAGAACCTGGGCCCCACTCCAACCTTCACACTCCAGGGCCTGGGCCCCACTTCAGGGCTTCCCTCCAGGGCCAGGCCCCACTACCCTCCTCACCTCCCGGGCAGGCCCTGCTCTGCTCCTCGCATTCGAGGGCCTGGGCCCACTCTGCTCGTCACCTTCCAGGCCTGGATCCTGCTCCCCACCTTGAAACCAGAGCCTGGGCCCAGCTCAACTTGCTGCCCTCCAGGGCTGGACCCTGTTCCCCTCCTCACCCACCAGGGCCAGACCCTACTCTCCTCCTCAATCTCCAGGGCCAGGCCCTGCTCTCCTCTTCCCCATCCAGGAGCAGCATTGGGCACCCCACACAGTTCCCCAGCACCTACCACTTCATGGCCTGCCTTGGCTGCCTCCTGCTTCCTCAGGCACACCCAGTGAAGCCACGTCTTTGTGCCCCAGTGCAGCCACCAGGAGCCACCCATCATGGGGCCCCCAGCACGGTCCCCAGCAGCCTCCCTATGATTGCGTGAGGATTCTTCCTACTTCTTCTTGGGCTCCCCTGTGGTTATCTGAGCCCTCTGTGCAGCCCCCAGGCCCCACCACACGGTCCCCAGGCCCCACCAGCTCCTTCCCTGGGCACTCCCACTGCCACTGCATCACTAGGTCACCACGTGGACCCTAGCAGCTGCCTCCTCCTTCCTCGCCCCCCCCCAGCATCCGAGTTTTAGGACCCCCCATTCTCCCAGAAGTCACTGAGTCTTTGGGGTTCTCGCAGTCCCTAGCAGTCATTGCCTCAGTCCTCTGTCACTCCTGCTGTCCCTGTATCATGTCTGAACTTGGAAATGAGGCTCTACAAAGGGGGTCTCAACTAACTCTCTTGTTGCCCAAGTGTGGAGGGTGGGCAAGTGGTCCTTGCTGCAGGACTGTTGAATGTGCAGAGGGGGAACATGGGTGTGGCATGACGATAGAAATTTCCCCTGTGAGTCACCTTTAAGAGCATGGCTCTGGGCAGGAATGACTTCCAACATGTTGTTTGCCAAAGAAAACCCTGGGCAGGAAAACGGAAAGCATGGGCACGAGTTAAGGTGCCAGGTGACTTCTTCCCAGACATGTGGGTCCTGAGTTCTTTGGGGCACACAGGAAGACAGCTCAATGGGAGAGGCCACCTCAGTCTGCAATGCAGGCTCCTCAGATCAGATCTAGGAGCTCTAAGTGTCGCAGGAGTTTCTCATCCAGGGACCTGGGAATTTGGGCTTGGAGAAAGAAACTCAGGGTGAGAAGAATTCCCAGGGTAGAGAGCCACCTGAGCACAGAATGCAGGCAATAATCAAAGGCAGAATAATGTGGCAGGAGGACAAAGAGTGTCATCCAACGTGGGCCCTGTATCTTACAACCAGCATCCCACACCAATCGCTTTGAACTGGCTCAGAGACCTGGGGAATCTAAAAGATAAATGAGTATGTAGAAGATCAGGGGTTTTCCAAACACCAGAGAAGCAGTCTGCCTTACTCACCTTTCCCATGGAGCTGAGTCCATCCACGTCACGGCACCAACGATGCTGCAGGAAGTTCAAGTCCATTCTCTCTCTCACATAATCCCAACACGGATCATGAGGGTGGGGGAGAAAAAGCAAAAGTAGGTTTTTGTGAGAAAATGACACCCCTGCCAGCCAGAAGGGGGACTAAGGGAGGGGCCCAATAAGGGCTGGGTACAGGAAGTTTAACTAGGGAGTGATGTTCATGGATCAATTCTAAACAAAATGGAACACCATGTTCTTCTATCTTAGGAAAAGGTCATGACCCCTAACCATGCAAACAAGTTTCCTTATGGCCATCTGAAAAATGCAACAATATCTTCCCTCTCTGCCTGCAGTTTCTCTTACTGCCTCCTCACCTGCGCTCCTCCCAGTCAGGAGTCCATGACTACCCTTCATTGCTTCACTCCTCTGGGAAGGGCCCCACCTCTGGGGCATTTCCCAAGAGGCTACTAAGAGGCCACTTTCCTCTCTGCACTCAAGGGCTTTCCTCTGGGGCTGGCAGGACACAACACATCCAGCTGAAGCATTGGATGACCCTCCTGCCAATCCCCAGGCGCCCCTTGCCCTTTCTGGCCTGCGTGTCTGAGGTCCCTGTCTCCTTCTCCTGCTGCTGCATTCCTGGGATGCTCTGTTCCTCTGAGGCACCCTGGGAGCCGCTCCTGACTTCCACATCAGCCTCACTGCTGCTGGTGCTCAGTGTGGTGGAGAGAGAGGACAGAGCATCCTGGCTGAGGACTGCACAGGCAGCGGGGCTCCTTGTCCACACGGCCCGTTGGGACCTGTCTGTCCTGCAGGACTCACTGCTGCTCACACTGGGAGTCCCATGGCAAGGAGTCTGCCCCGACTGGCCTTCTGCAAGCACCAGTGGTTGGGAGCTGAGAGCAGCACACTCACGGGCTCTGCTGTTGCAGCCTGAGTGTCCCTGGAGGCACTGGAGAATGGGACAGCTCTGAGCACCGGGGATGGCCTGAGGCATGGGCTTCCCTTTGCTGTGATCCTGCTGAAGTCCTGGGCACAAGGCACTGGCTTGGAGCCTGGGTGGCAGGGAGCCTGCTTGATGGCCCAGCTGGAATCCCAGGTCCTCAAGGGAGCTTAGAGCTTCAGGACCCTGAGGAGGTACTGCAGGCTCCACTTGGCTCTGCCCATGTATTTCTGGGATGCTGAAGCCCTGCTGTTGGGAGATCCCCCAGCATGGCACAGGGGGCAAGGGGTCATCCCATTCATGAAGCCACAGTGGAGGGCAGAGGCCCCATGGGAATTCCCATCCTTCCTGCTCCTGTGGAAGAAACAGAAACTCGTCACTGGTTCCAGCTGCTCCATGTCCTGCATGGAGCCATGGGTGGCCCATGATGTCTGCCACTGTGGGCCTGGCCTCAGGGTCCCGGGTCAGTAAGCTGTCCACCAGGTTACACAGCTCTGGGTTTCCATAGTGGGGGATTCTGTAGTATCCAGACAGGATGGCTGCCCGCAGCTCCACAAAATCCTCTCCAACAAAAGGCAGTGAGCCTGCCACCATGGCGTACAGGATCACGCCCACACTCCAGCCATCAGCCTTGTACCCGCAGAACTCCTCACCTAAGAATTCCTCGGGCGCACAGTATGCAAAGGTCCCGCACAGATTCTTCAGGCGCTCTCCACCAGCCAGTTTGCAGCTGAGACCAAAATCGCTCAACTTAATGTTTAGGTGGGCGTCGAGAAGCAGGTTTTCTAACTTTAAATCCCTGTGCACCACGTGCTGCGAATGGCAGTAATGCACAGCAGATAGAATTTGTTTAAATAGCTGACGAATCTCTCCATCCAGTAGGTACCCTCGTTCTACCATGTAACATCTAAGGTCCCCCCTGACTGCGCACTCCATGAAAATGTAGCCCCTCTCTGTGGTGTGCCTGGCCTGCAGTAGTTGAATGATGTGAGGGTGATGCAGCCCCTTCATTATTTTTGCTTCTGTGCACAACTGCTGGAAGCTGCAGGAGTGCTGGCCACCATTCTCCACAACCTTCACAGCCACCTGGGTCCTGCTTTCCCAATGATAGGCCAGGATCACCAGCCCAAAACCGCCCTGGCCGAGGACCCTGAGGACCTGGTACCCATCCAGGACCTCCTCCTCACTGGTGAAGGCGGTGAGGCCTTCCATGGTGGGATCCCCACCCCACCCCCACCCTGCACTCTGACACTGGGAACACTTACAAGTCACCTAAAGTAGTAACAAAAACTGGGAAACAAACAGAAATCAAACAAGCTAAATGGTAACCAAAATTAACAACTCAATATGCTAATATTTCTACTAGAGAATGCTAACTCTATGAACTATGGTATACTAATCACTAACACTGTATCAAAATTAAGAATTAAAAGTTATAAAACACACAGAATACTAAAAATGGTGAAGGAAAGCAACACCAACTATGGTAACTATGGTAACAATGCTAATCAATAAGTCTTATAACAGTCTTATCTAAATCACAGGATTAAAAAATGAGAAAATAGACAACGGAGGAAACACAAGAAGGACAAATGAACACAGCATCAAGTACATTTAGCCTGTGAAAGAAAAAACAAAAAATTAATAAATAAATATTTAAAGAAAATACACAAGCACACAATGTAAAAATGGGAGGGGGAGAGAAATTGAAAAAATAGCAAAAAAAGAAAACTAAATAGAAGAAATACTAAAAGAACCACTACGGTAAAGAGAACTAATAGACCAGACAAGACAACACCACAAATGACAGGACAAGGGAAAACCAGTGATGTCGTCCAATCCTTCAGGCAGTCTCCACAGAGCTTCCTGGGCCAACTGACCAGAACCGAGCCCAAGCAGGGAACTGTTAAGGCAGTTGGAATGACATCACAATGGCCCCCCTGAGGGCAGAGCAGGCTCTAGACCAATCACAGCTGGGGACACAGCAGGCTGGTTTTCTCAAGAAACTTTCTACTTGGTTAAAGAGAAAGGACCCCAAAAGCTTTTGGCTTAAGTTGGTGGTAGAGATTGGTATTTAGGATTTGATAAATTAGCACAGTCCTCTTCAGGCGTTTTCTATTGTTTCAATACACGTATAGAAGCACTGATCCTCCCAGTCTCTATTTCCACCCCCATTCCCACCCCCTTTTTCATTTCCTCTTGGTTCCTGTCCATTAAAGACGTCCAGTAAGAGGAGTCAACTGCTCCTCTTAGCCCAGGCAGGCTCAGCTCACTGTCCCAAAAGATTTCCAAGCTCTGCCATGGCTTGAACAGATTGTGGCTCCCTCACTCATGTATACGTTCACTCACACACATATGTACTTGTATGTTCAAAAACAAAACTAGAGGCATAAGGTGTCCCTTTAGAGGAATTGAGCATTTGCAAACTGAGTTCTGGTGACGCTGCCCACCATCAGCCTGCTGCTCTGTTTGTCTGCTGAAGGTGAAACACTCAGAGCACACATGGAGAGAATAGAAACAATGTTACTGGAGATGCTGCACAAGCGAGCCAGGCTTCCTTCCCCATAGAACAGCAGGTTACAGCCTCAGCCTCACTCAGCTCCTGTCTTCCTCCTGAGGGAGGATTCCTGGGGATGGTAACGGACCTATTGTCGCTCCTCCAGGCTCCTGAGTTCTTGCAATGCAGACTGTGAAACGTATTTATGATATCTTCAAAATTAAAGTGGTGTTGTTCCCACTCTTGCTCTCTCCATCCCATTCTCTCCCCTTCTCCTCCGTTTCTCCCCTGCTGAAAGTATGTCTTTCAGATAGACTAATTACATTTTTAAGCTTTTGTTAATATTTAATTATTTATTTATTTTTAAAGATTTTATTTATTTGAGAGGTAGCGTTACAGTGAGAGGGAAAGACAGACAGAGAGGCCTTCCATCCACTGGTTCACCCCCAAATGGCTGCAATGGCCAGAACCATGCTGATCAGGAGCCAGGGGCTCCCTCCCGGTCCCCCACGCGGGTGCTTCCACTGCCCTCTGGGCCACAGCAGAGAGCCGGATCGGAAGTGGAGCAACGAGAACTCGAACTCTCGTCCACATGGGATGCCTGTACCACAGGCAGAGGCCCAGCCCAGTGTGTCTGCTCCAATATTTTATTTATTTAAAATTGAGAGACAGAGTTAGAGACACACACACGGAGATCTTCCATCAACTGCTTCACTCCCCAGACCGCCACCGTGGCCAGAACTGGGTGGATCCGGAGCCAGGAGCCAGGCGCTTCCTCACTGCTCCCAGGCTGGAATGGGGAGGAGCAGCCAGGACTCCAGGCAGAGGCTCCGCCCACTCCACCACGGCCTGACTTCTTTCCAGGTCCTTCTGCGGTACCACGGATATCAACCGAGAAAGCCACCCAAACAGGTCAGTCCCATACAGCAGGTTGGCAGGAAGGGATCCGGGCAGGCACCGCGGCACAGCAGGTGAGGCTGCCTCTCGGACGCCCTCACCCACGTACCCAGCCTGAGTCCCGGCTGCTCGGCTCTGAGGCAGCTTCCTGCTAATGCACCTGGGGTGCTCCCAGGCATGGTCACGCAGGAGACTCAGACGAGCCCCTGGCTCCAGCCTGGCCCAGCTCCACACACATCCGGGGAGGGCACCAGCGGGCGGAAGGTCCGTTGCTCTGCTTCTGTGCTGTGGCATCAGCGGGCAGGTGGAGCAGGGAGGTGCTACGGGGTCAACAGAACAGGGAGCCCCCCCGCAGAGCAGTGCAGTGAGCCTGGGGAGGTCAGCAGGGAGCCCCCCAGAGCAGTGCAGGGTACAGGGAGCATGAGGGGGCTGGCAGGATGCAGGGAGCTCCCCAGAGCTATGCAGGGTGCAGGGAGCCCCCCACAGCAGTGCAGGGTGCAGGGAGCCCGAGGGGGCTCTCAGGGCGCAGGGAGCCCCCCAGAGCTATGTAGGGTGCAGGGAGCACAAGGGGGGCTGGAAGGGCACAGGGAGCCCCCCAGAGCAGTGCAGGTCACAGGAAGCCCAAGTGGGGCTGGCAGGATGCAGGGAGCCCCCTAGAGCAGTGGAGGGCCCAGCACCGCAGAGGGTTCAAGGGCAGCAGAGCCCTTCCTCAAGGCTGCCTGTCCCAAGAATGTAACTCATCACCCAGAATCTACTATCTATTTCAGGCTACTTTAGATCAAACATAGCTACTTCCACTGTTCAAATACATGAGATGGGACTACTCTTTTATCAGAGCTCAAAGTGTCCTATTATTTTTTATTATTATTTTTCACAGGCAGAGTGGACAGTGAGAGAGAGAGACAGAGAGAGAAAGGTCTTCCTTTTGCCGTTGGTTCACCCTCCAATGGCCGCCGCTGCAGCCAGCGCACCGCGCTGATCCGATGGCAGGAGCCAGGATCCAGGTGCTTTTCCTGGTCTCCCATGGGGTGCAGGGCCCAAGCACCTGGGCCATCCTCCACTGCACTCCCTGGCCATAGCAGAGAGCTGGCCTGGAAGAGGGGCAACCAGGACAGAATCCGGCGCCCCAACCGGGACTAGAACCCGGTGTGCCGGCGCCGCAAGGTGGAGGATTAACCTATTGAGCCACGGCTCAGCTGATTTTCAACCACTCTCTGACAGGCTGAGACTACGGAACACACTAAATACTACTTAAGAAAACACATTCACTATGACTTTACTCCACCATTCTCCTATAGGTTTTTCAGTTCTGCTCTATTAGATGGCTTGTTTCCTTAAATTATTCCAAATAGATATAATGAGATCTCTCCACTGGTTATCTCAAAAGTAGGGTAATGATCGACTGGATGAAGGCATAATCCAATAAAATTCAAATTTAATGATTCAAATTTGATGATACCTGTTTTCCAGATTTTTGTTCGTTTCAATTACAGGCATGGTGATCAATGAATGGGAAATGAATGACTACAAAGAGGATTCCCTGGTCTTTGGAAGGCATTAAAAAATTTCTACAACAGAACGCTAGTGATGGTTGCACAATTATATGAATCTACTAACACCAAGGAGTGGTAGATCTGTTAATTGGTAATTTTTCTTTTAAGTAATTTCAAAGGAAATTTCAAATTTCTGCTCCAAAATGTAAATAACGGAATAGTCACTTGTAAAGACAAGAAAATAGTACAACATACTTAACACCAATTCTCTTCTTAGATTAGCCCAAGAATTGAGGTCATAAGGAAAACAGCGTCCCTGAACATGAGAAATATAGGCCACTACAAGAAATACCAGCTTACCAGGAAGAGAGAAGCTGCTGAATGCAGCAAATGGTAAGGACACTTCGATGGTAACTGTCCAACTGCTGGAGGCTGGAGGTGACCTGCCTTGACAGTTAAAAACATTTTTGTGTATGGGCATTTTGCCTTGTAGTTGGAAAACCCATTGAGACACCCACAATGCAGTGCCTCAGTTTGAATCCAGCTTTCTGCCAATGAAGACCTGGGAGTCAGCAGATGACGACTCACAGAGATCTATTACTGCCATGCAAGTGGGAGACCTGGATTTAGCTCCCAGCTTCCATTTCTGGCAGAGTTAGAATCACCCAGTGGATCATAGTTCAGTGGAAGTGAACAGTTATTAGTCATTCTCTGTAAGTCTCTCGGCTTCTTAAATTGGGGTCAAGGTGGAGTTTTGGAAACAGTTGTGGAATTTTACCACAAGAAACATAAACGGGTTCTCTTTAAGAGTAGAAAAATCATCAGCGCCCAGCACCAGCACTACTCCTGTCACTTCTGCCCCTCTGGAGGTCCTGTGGCCTGCAAATCCCAGCCTCAAATACAATACAGCAGCTCCAGCCCCACCCTCTGGCAGTGACTAGGGGTCTGCTTGCCGCATCTAATGGGCTTCACTGCTACTCCTGGGGCTCTGGCCCATCAGGCAATGGCTCAGGCCACATAACCAGGCTGTCCCAGCATCAGCTTGGCCTGCTCCCAGAACCAGTGATCTCTAGCATTTCTTGTATCACATTTGGGTGATGGGTGGTGAGCCATCACTGGGCCCATTCACAGAGCCAGCCAGGTGTGCTTCCAGAAAGAATGTCATTTCTGCATCTCTATTCCCTTACTCTAGTGGTGGCTGAGGGACTCCATACCACGGGGCCAAGCAACTCCAATGGACCCCAGAAATACCCACACCCTTGATGCTACTGGAGTGAACTACAGCAAAAATAAGCTATAGGGAGAGGCCATTATCATTTTTAACTTGAAACAGAGACAAAACATGCTACATAGTCAACACCTAAAGACAGACATTCAGGAAAAATCTTTCAATCCTTGAAAACCGTCCCTTAAAAATGATACAAAAAAACTGATCTACCAGATGTGTAACAATCAACATAGGGACAGAAGAGTGAAAATTAAACAATATGCTACCAAAAAGAATATAACAACACTATAATGGCTGACCACAAAGAAGGTGGTGCATAAAATGCCAGATAAAGAATTCAAAAGACGGGCTTCATGAGGATACTCAGAGAGACACAAGAGAATATGGACAGTTACCTGAACGTTATGCAAGTGATGAATGATATCAATGAATGAAAACTTCAACAGAGACAGAGACCTTGAACAAGAACTGAAGAAAAATCTTACAAAACATGAAGTGATTAAGTGAAAAAAGTTACTGATATCGACAACAGACTATACTGAGCAAAACAAAGAATACCTGAACTCAAAGAAGAGCCTTTTTAAATATACCAGTCAGACAAAAGGAACCAAAAAGATGGCCTCCTGAGACCAGAGGAACACAACATAACCAAGTATTCAAATTTCCACAGTCGCTGAGGGAGAGAAGAAGAACCAGGACAGGGAGGTAATAGCTGAAAACTTCCTCAGGTGGAGAAATATACGGACACTGATGTATAGAAGGCCCCAAAAGTGTATGAGAAGTTACCAGAGAAATTTCTGTCACCTTATATTTGTACTCAAAAGAACAACACAAAGAAAGAAACAGAATTGAATCAGAAAAGCAAGTGGTCCCTTTTAAGGGAAACCCCGATTAGATTATTAGCACATTTTCCCCACAAAGCTTTCAGGATTCATAAAATATAAAATCCAGTCATGATTAAAATCATGAACACATGCATATGGAAAAAAATTTCTCAACTTAATAAACCCATACATGACAAACCCACAGCCAATATCATATGAAATGGGGAATTCAAAAACATTCCTCTAACATCTTTGACCAGATAAAGATAACAGTGGGCAGAGAGTACTCTCACTGGTCTGATTCAATATGAAACTAGATGTCTTGGATGGTGCTGTGGCTGACTTGACTAATCTGCCTGCAGTGCCGGCACCCCGGGTTCTAGTCCTGGTTGGGGTGCCGGGTACTAGTCCTGCTTGCTCCTCTTCCAGTCCAGCTCTCTGCTGCGGCCTGGGAAGGCAGTGGAGGATGGCC